TTGAGCAGGAGGGTTCAGTGGGCAACAAGTGGAGAGGCCTGGCACTCTACAGAGAGAGCCCTGGGACGCACCGTGATGCACCACACTTATACTGCAACAGCGCATGTGCAAGCAGAGTAAAGACACACAGGGCCAAACAGGGAGAGATGGGTATACCCGCAGTCCAAGCCGCTCAGGAGGCTGTGGCAGGGGGATTGCCTAGGGCCTTGGAACCTATCGAGACCTCAAGCGAAGGAAAGAAGGAGGGAGAAAGAGAAGGAAAGAGAGAAGTGTGAACTGGGGGAGGTGCAGGCTGCAGCCCCAGCTAGGTCTCTCTTCCCGGGCTGTGCACACCATGAAAGCTCAAAGAGCCAGCCATGCCTCGCTGTGCAGGGTTTGCCCTCCTGCAAAGCTGCAACTCCTGATTGTTTCCTCAGGGCAGCCTGGCCTTAGCACTGAAGACGTCCTGTGGCAGGTGCCAACAGTTACAACCTAAGGGCTCCTGTCCCCACTCTCGGGGTACTCAAGGCTCTTGAGTCCACACCCATCAGTCATCTGGTCTCCCTCTAGGAGATCATGGGATTATTGCACATGCTTATGTAAATATATATTTACACACACATATATGTATAATACAATATGCATAGAGATGTATATGCCCATGTTTTTAATAAAGTTACATCACATGGGGTGATGTTATCCCCCAAGAACCAAGCACTATCTAATGAAACCCAGTGCCAGGCAGCAGAGTACAGAGGTCCAGTCTCCCAAAGCAATATGGGCTATTGCCATTGCCCTTGGCTTCCTCCCAGGTGAGACGATTGCTGAACACAGCACACAGTTTGGACACAGGACTTGAAGGAATTGAGCCAGAACTGACCCGGAAGCCTCCTTCACGAGGATTGGCTCGTATGGAATTGGAAGGTGCTGTGCATGACAGCAAAGGAGAGAAGCAGTGGATGGTCCTACCCCACCTTAAAGCCCAGGAACCATTGGGCCAGCAATATCTCCCCTACAGTGAAATAATGGCACTTTTATCATAGGGGTAACCAACAGCTATCTAATTCAACTTAAGGTCTGCTCAAAAGGAGGAACTTTATATCTGGTACTGAAAACCTAGTCAAATACCCACGGCTGGAGAGATCACAGACCCTAGAGGATCTACAGGTGAGCGTAGTTCTTACCGTATCAAAAGCTGCTTTTTGTAACAGATGGAGACTGTTGTTGAGACCCACACCTGGTCCAAATGCAGAGAATGAATGACTGTGGGCGCCTAGACCCACTATCCATCTCTGCAATGCAACCCTCCGGTATAACGGAGGCTCCTATAGATCACAGAAGAGCAGATAGAATTTAACAGGCATCCGGGCCGGGGTTGCTATACACTGTCCCCTAGGCGTGGCATGGGAAATGCATCCACGAAATCCCAACAGTATGGTTTCGCAGATAAGACTGGCATGATGGTACCACCACACGCCACGTGGACAGAGGAAACTCTACACGGTCCCAGGCCTAGAAAAGAAGCTACAGGGTCGTCAATGGCTGCTAAGGGAGAATGGATTAGTTTCTCCAGGGCTAGTTCCCACATTGGTGTCCAATCCCATATGGTCAACTGTGGGTGCTTGCTCATATGAGCAAGGCTGCACAGATTCAGTAGGTTGTGTGTGTTACACACACTAATTAACCAAGAGACCATGTGTTTGGAGAGTTTGAGCAGGAAGGGGGGGTGAGAGAAACGCAGCTGCCCTGCACTGAAGGAGTTCGCAAATGAAAATTAAAATATAAAATAAAAATGAACGTACGGCCTAATTCACACGCCTTTCCTCCAGGTTTCCGCTCAAGGGCGTTGCCCGCACCTCAACGGGCCACGCCTAGTGCCACGGTACCAAGAAGATGACTTCGGGACGCCAACAAGCTGACCAGACCAACCCAAATGTCTGGGTATAGCTCACAAGCCCTGAGAGGTCCTGACTTTCTCAGTCCTTCTCACTCCGTTGCAGTCACCTCCTAAGGATGCGGCCCAGATCCTGCCCCTTTTCTCAGAACAAGGCGCAAAACAAATGCGCGGCGGGGGGGGGGGGGGGGGGGGGG